TATGTGCCGCGAGATGTACCAGCCAGAGGTTAAGAGTTTACATTCTTTACAGATTCTATAAATATAGATGAACCTAAAAATACCCTCCTCAATTAAATTTTAAAGGCGAGCTTTGCAGGTGCACTAAAAATAAGAATAAGCTTTACCCCCCCCTTTTTAAGAGCAAATGTGAGAGTCAAAGCACTCCAGGAGCTCTCCTTGGTTTAAATAGTACGATGGGAGAGAGGCTTCACCAGCAACATGACAGGGTGCAACTGGGGTTGAGGGGTCTGGCTGGAGGGTCCTATTCTAAGCAGGGTGTTGCGCTTAGATCGAAGGGTGGGGAGCTTTTCCCCCCAGTCATAGAATAATAGAGTTGGAAGGGACACAGAGAGCCATCCAATCCAAAGGTTCCCAAACTTATTTGGCCTACCACCCCCTTTTCAGAAAATAATTACTCAGCACCCCCCTGGAAATCTACTTTCTTTAAGTGAACAAACAGAAATATGGTAACAAACAGAAAGTGCATTGGCCAAATAGGCAGGCAAGCTGCAATCCACTTCTGGGACCTGGGTGAAGCTGAAAAGGATTCACTCAAACCCAGGAAAACCCCTCACCTCCAGTATGACTGCAGGATCCAGGGGAGACATTGTCACTGTTCTGCAAGGCGCCTGACCTGGCGGAAAGCATCGCAGCAGATGAAACGAGTACAGTTTTTCTTTTCTTCTCTTCTTTATTTAAGACTAGGGAAATGGTGTGGACCATAAGTGGGATAAAGATTGGCTTGACTTCTAAGACCGGGCATGTATCTGAGCATTTCTCGGTTCTGTAAAGTGAGGCCCTTGCTCTTGAGAAGGCTCCCACATCTTGAACACCTCCATCCCACTCAGAAATATAACAGGGAGAAGCTTTTTCCCTTCGCTGCATTGCCCTCTTGAAAACTGGGTTCTTTAACTTTAGGCTAGACATTAATCCTATCATGGAGCTATTAAAAGTACAGAGCAATTCCAAGAAAAGAGAGCAACCCTGGAGCCAAGCTACGGATTAAAGGGAAGGGGAAACTAAGGGAAGGTGTTCGTACTTTCTCCCCTGTTGCTCTTTCTTTACAAAGCTGCTTGGGGAAGGAAATACAGGAAGGTAGGCTTGATGGTTAATGCATAACACACATGTGCCCACTTCAAGCTCTGCCCTAATCTTGTGCCTTGTTGCATTTTTTTGGCAGTGGCAGTGGAAATGTTTTATGGCAGATTCAAACAGTTTTATCGCAGTCTGGTTCAGTGATATATCCGATCCACTTCCCCGTGGGGAGGGGTTGCGGTGGACCGCATGGCCACCCACTCCCCTCCAGGGGTGGGGGACTTAGTCCCCCCATTGCCTGGGGGATCCCGGCCACGTCAGAGCCCGGTCAGCCAATCTGCTGACTGGGGGTCGTGGCCGGGACCAATTGCGAGCAGGAGGGCGTCCTCTTTGGCTCGCTTCCTCCATCACCCGCCCTCCCTCCCTATTTTGCAGGTTTTAGGCACTGGCCTTGCTATGGACCTCGGTTGGTCTCCGTTGAGGGGCCTGGTAGGAATTTTTCCACTTGGCAAATTAGCACTGGCCATTTGGTTTTCGCCTACCTCGTAGCAATCATCACAACTTTGTTAGGGTTGCAGTTAGGCATTGCTGGACCTTGTAATGGGGGAGGGGAGGTGTGGCCATCACCTGCCCCTCCAAGCTTAAGGATATTCTGTTAAAGGAACACCAGGGGTGTTGATCTTGTCTGAAGCCTGGGGTGGGTTAGGGCCATGACATGACCCCAACAGGAACACCAGGGGGAGCTCGAGTTGGTATGCATCAACAGCGCTCCCCCTTCCGGTGGTTTACCCTTACTAGACTTCCTGCACATAGTGCAAAAGATATAGTCGGGTCCATCCAATGCCTAAGCCAATACCGCTCACATTCTGTAATCAATAAAGTTGTGGCCAAATTTTGCCCATAACATTAATCTAATATCTGTGTCCTTGTGTGTGTTATGTCTCAACGAGGGGGTGTCTTAGGAGTCTCGACACGTAAACTCTTTGCTTTTGGACAATAGCCTGTTGCTGCATTCATCTCAAGAAGGAGTTGAGCCCCCAAGACAAGCTGATAAATACACCAGCTTTTTGTATTTAGGGTGGCCACTTACTCATCATCCCATCTCCACCACCACCCCCCCAAAGGCAAAAGATATTGCAGTTTTGCAAAACATTTCCATATGCTAATGTATATGTGCTAATCAGGGGTGGCTCTACTATGAAACTAATGAAGCTTAAGCTTCAGGGCCCCCAATCCCAGAGGGACCCCAGAAAAACCTTCAGTCCACATTGATTAAAAATGTTGGGTCTGGTCCAATCTGGGTCCAATTTGATTCGCATGACACAAATTGAATAACTTGTTGTTGTATATATTTCAGCGAAGGTTGAGAGCCAGCAGCACAGATGGAGACAGAGCACAGCCATCATGGCTAGTAGCCACTGGTAGCTTTATCCTCCATGAATTTGTCTAATCCTCTTTCAAAGCAAAGTTGGTGGCTTGTATCTAATCACCACGGCAATGCAAAACCCAAAGCAAGAGATTGCTTGCATTATATGCATTATAATAGGGCTGCCATATTTCAAAAAGCAAAAACCAGGACATCCCAAAAGTTATTGAGCTTGTTTTAGGAAAACCTCAAAATTGTTGAGCTAATTATAATTACAGCCCTAATTATAAGGCAGGAAACTCACAGCGCAGGGGAGATAAGGCACTCTGGACAAACGCAGAGGTGCTATGGTCTTTATTGCTTCACATATTCCTAGGCTAAGGCAAAATCCATAGACAGCTTTCCCTAACCTGGTGCCTTTCCTCACCCCCACCCCGCCCTCTGACTGGGGTGGATGGTAGATATAGTCCCTAACATGTGTAGGGCACCAGTTTGGGGACTGTTTCCTTAAACCAAAGAAACTAGACAGCCCACATCCAAAGTGGAAGAAAAGAATCCACATTTCTAAAGGCAATTCAGTGTCAGAAGGAGCAGGGAAGAGAGAAAGAGACCATTTAAAGCTTTGTCTTGTGTTTTGCAAGTGAAAGAAATGCATGCCACAATGAAAGCTTTAAATATTTAATGCTTTAAAAACCAAACAGGATAAAAAATCCCCCAAACATAGCCTTGCAATACCGGGTTGCTCTTGAGCAAAACAAATGGGTTTATTTACCGACAGCCATGCTAATAAGCAATAAGCAAAGCCCATTAGAGATGAAATGACACAGGTTCATCTTACAGGATAGTGGAGCAGAGAGATAAGGCAGAAAACGCTTGACCTTCTTTGTCTTTGCTCATCCTCTTAGGGAAGGTGGTTTAAAGCAAAATTAAAAAGAGCAGGAGTGGGGAGGCGGCAGTTGGCAGTGGCTCCCTGTTTCCGACTGCCCTGTTTATGCCAAGAGAAACTGAATGGCATCCCCATTTGCACCTGTGATGGCCTGGGATTCAGACTTGGAGGCTGAACCTGAGGAATCCCAGCCTGCACAGGAGTCCCTGTCTCCAGAACCAGCTGAGCCGGGGCTGGGGCCTGAGCCTGAAGGGTCCTCACCTGTGCTGGATCCTCAGGTGCAGGCACCAGCTGAGTCTGCTCTGGCTCCTGAGGTGATGGAGGACCCATTGCCTGCAAGTACTCCACTCTCAGCCCCATCAGGGGAAGCTGAGGTTGCCTCTGGGTCCGGTAACCCTCCAGCCTCTCCTGAGCTGCAGAGGCTCAGGGCAGAGAGGCGGAGGGAACTAAGTTCCCGCAGGAGGAGTGCTCACCTCCAGGCCAAGAGAGGCGAGTCACCTGTGGACCGGGCCGCCCTATGCCTCGGGGCAGATAAAAGACAGCCAGCCCCAGTCCCAGGTTGCGGGAGCAACATTGTTGGTAGCCTGTTCCTGCCTGCACCCTGTCCTGCTCTTCTGCCAGAGTTCCTGACCTCACCCGACTCCCTGCCTTGGACCCAGCTTCAGCTTTGACGGACAGACTCCTTACCGCACCCTTGACCTCGGACTGGACTCGGACCTCGCCGCACGGTTAACCCTCGGGACCAGCACAGGACCCTTACTCTGGTTCATGGGATGTAGAAGCTGTGGCCTCCAAAAGTTGAACATTCATGTAGCCTTTTACCCTGTTCCTTTAGAAATGTCTTTAGGGAGTGGGAACCTGTGGCCCTGCAGATGTTGTTGGACTACAATTCCCATCATCCCCAGCCAGCAAGGCCCATTGATCAGGGTGATGGGGATGGTAGTCCAACAATATATGGAGGGCCATAGGTCCCCCATCCCTAAAGACAGAGGAAAAGGAACCATGTGAAGGACATGAGCACAAAGCAAGCTAACACTGTCAACTTTTTCTCTGACAGGGTCCAATGGGTGGCAGGGTGAGAGGAAATTAAGCAGGTACATCTTTCCTGATCATTGCATCTCTGCGCCAAGAAGAGCTTCACCTCCTGGGTTTCTGTTTATTTTATAACCTCTTCAAAGCCTTGCTGAGGGTTGGATGTGTACAATGCTAACAGAAGATACTCTGATTAGGAATGGGGATCTTCCATAAGAACGCAAGGTGAGCTCTGCTAGAGTAGACCAAAGGCCTGTCTGGTCCACCATTTTGCTCTCACAGTGGCCAACCTCTGAGAAGCCAATGAGAAGAACGTGAGCAAAATAGTCATCTCCCACCAGATGCTTCTGAGCTCGAGCTCCCATCAGCTCCAGCCAGCATGGCTGGTGGATAACTGAAGAGACGGATGAGCTCTTCAAGTGACTAATAAATCCACTTCCTCTAGGTTAGTATCAACCATAATTATGCTTTGGTGATGCCTTGTATCAGCTCAGTCTCTCTACATCAGTGTCAACGGTCACTAGGAATGGAGATACCAGATGTGGAATTTCTCACATTTGTTGCCTTGGTGCACTCAGATGCAAGGCATGATGGGAATGATGTCCCAGATTGCTTATCCCCTTGAACTGCACACTAATGGATGTGTAACCCTTAGAGAAAGGCTCTTAGCTCAGTTGGTAGAGCATCTGCTGTGAATGAAGAAGGCCCCAGGTACAATCCCCAGCTAGGGCTAGGAAAGACTCATGGCCTGATACCCTGGAGAGCTGTTGCCAGTCACTGATGGTCAGTTCCTGGTTGGCCAGTTGGTCTGATTTGGTTTAAAGGCAGCTTCATGTGTTCCTATGTAACTGCAAAGGGAAAAACTTCTGTCACTACCCAAGAGATTATTTCATGCAGGTGGCCCTGTGTCTTACTTACAAAGGACATTGGAAGGTGCCCTCTATTTTAAGGGCCACCTGCTTTAAGTCTAGCTGAAAGAACACTAAGAAGGGCAAGCAAAGATCTTGAAATTGCTCATCAAGAGGTAGCAGTTGGACAGCAGACTGAAAAGGTGGAGAGGTCACCTGCCTTCCCTAACATACTGAGATGGATTGTATTTTTTTTAATCATGGTAATGATTTCTAGATTTGCAACTATGCATATAAACTAGTATATGCAGTTCAATGCCCTCTTTCGTCCTCTTTTTCAGAGATGAGTTAAATGGCTACCCTATTTTTCATAGACAGAAATGCATGAGATTGCATTGATTTGCTTATGGGGAAAAAGCAAGAGCAACAAAGACTAATTAAGGAAATTGCTCAAGTGCCCTAAAGCCCAGGTTGGAGAAAGTGTCATTTGATGGGTCCTCCTCGTACTGTTTGCATGAAAAACCCAGTTATTTTCCATGCTGTGCTGATCTCACCAAAAACTATACTTAATCTTCTTTGTCCTTCCCTTGTCCTCAGAACAAATATATATATGACTAAGTAGTTAGGCTTTTATAATGTTATTTTCAAATATCGGTTTCAGAAATTAAGTGCATCATTGTGGTGAAAAGCACGGGCTGAGATTCTTGAACAATGGTGTTTAGAAACAAAACAGGTTTGGCAAGGTAAGAGAGCACCGGGGTGCTAAGCAGGCATCGAGGGTGCGCTTGAGGGCCCTTCTGACAGAAATGCACACAAGTTTCATTATTTTATGTGACAGTCACATCTAGGAGCAGAGGAAGCCGAGTCAGACCATTGGGTCCATCTAGCTGTCAATGAAGGCTGAAAGTGGCTTTCCAGAGTCTGAGACAGGAGACATTCCCAGCCCTATCTTGAGATGCTGGAGATCAAACCCTGGGGCCTTCAGTATGCAAATCAGATGCTCTCCTCACTCAGCAAGACCTCTTCTCCAAGGTATGAGCCGTTTATCATTTTAGGTTGCCACCGTGCCACGGAAAAACTCTTCCTCTAGAAATTATGGAGTGTTAAGATGACAGCTCTCAAACCCAGCTGCTTTGTAATATGGGGGACCAAGATCAGCATCAGAGGTGTATCCTGGCAGCTAGCTGCCAAGGACAGGCATGTACTGATGCCAGGCTTAGTGCAGACTCTTACCATACAGTATGATTTTCAGAAGATTTAGGGGGCACACCAGTTCAGAACATTACATTTTTAATTCCCCTCTAGATTTTTAAATCTTTCTGCAAATGGGAAACTAGCACATCAAAGAGCAGACAAGTACAAAACCTTTCTCCCTGGATGATTTTGTTGTGTTTGCTTTCCCCTGCAGGTAGTTGTAGCTAATGTCTACTTGGATCAACGTCTACTTTAAGCACCTATTTTTTTTTTAAAAAAAAAGCTTTTAATTTTCCCATGCTTGAATCATAGGGTAGCTACTTACACGCTGTCCATTTAAAAAACACATCACTACAAAAGAGGTCACAAATTTGCCAGTATGCATATGCTAATTAAAATACATATCGGCATACACATGCTAATTAATATATACGGACGTGCTTTCAGAAAAAGGTCTTCCCATAAGCATCTGTTTTGGCCTCTGCGAGAACAGAGTGCTGGACTGGATGGGCCTGATCCAGCAGGGCTCTTCCTGTGTAATCACAGTGATTTATATAGAGATACCATGCCTCTCTCCATAGTGAGGAAGACAGTGGTTACGTGACCTGTGTGTGGCTGCTCAGGCTGCTGCCCAGGTGCTCAGTATTAGTGGGCAACTCCAAGGCCACTGCTCTTGGCCTTGGAGGAAGGGTGGCAGTGCAGTGGTAGAGACCTGATGTGCCTGCAGAAGGGCCCAAGCTCAATCCTCAGCATCTCTAGGTTGGGGTGGACATGCCCACTGCCAGTCGGTGGTAGAAAACACTGAGCTAGATGGACCAATGGTCTGACTTAGTGTAAGGCAACTTCCTATGTTCTCCTTTCTCAGGGCTTTTTAAACTGGACTGTGACTGGGCAGCCCTTCAAACAGAGATGTGTCCTCTGTAAAGTCGGGCATGTGGCCAGCCTACTGAGCTGTGCAGATGCTTTTCAAACACTCTTCTTGTTGGGTTTCTACTGCTGCTGATTGGAGGCAGCTGCTGTAGACGAGGTCACTCTGTTGGCCCATCTAGTCCAGGACTCTGATTGGCACCGACACTCCAGGGTCTTAAACAGAGGGCTTCCCCCATAACCTCCTACCTGACTCTAACAACTAAAGATGCCAGGATTGAACCTGAGGACTTCTGTGTCATGATGCTGTCAGGCAAGGAATATCCACAGTGAGACACAAACCCTTTATTGTCGAAAGTATGGTCACAAGTTAGGGAACAGCATGTCCATCAGCCCTACATCTCTCAGCAGCTCCTGATGAGCCAGTTGCAGCAACAGAGGCCCTGACCTCAGTTTATGTATCTCCTCCACTGAGATACATGCAAGCAGATGCAGACTACGCCTGCATGAAACCTGTTTCTGCTCCTCCCTCTTCAACCCTCTACTGGTCCTGGGAGACAGTGGAGCAGGCGAGGTGGGGGCAGGAGGAGGAGGTGTGGAAACCCTTGACTCTACACCAGCCTGACCTATATCGCACCTGTTCTCCACCCTCTGGTCCTGCAGCTTTCCTGCCTCCTGGCTGTTACAGGCTCCCCCAGATCACTGACCCCTTCTTCCAAGTCAGTCTCCAATCCCATTTCTCCCAATGCCCACACATCTAGCCACCACTCCTCAGTGCCCAGCCAGTGCCCAGTCCCGGACACACTGCATGCATCCTACTCCCTGAGCTATGGTCTCTTCCCCACCCTGCCCCACATTATAGATGGTGTTTGTTTACATCATGTTATGCCTGTTATTTATACGTTAATGTAAGCCCCTTTGGATAACCATTTGGAAGGGCAGAGGGCAATTTTATGGAACCAATACATTTACGTAGAGTTTTGGAGAGGTACCCAGAAGCAACTGGATCTCATTTTACTTCCCTCCACACACAAAAAAATAAAATATGAGAGAAGCATTATTTCCTGTATTGAAGACAGACTGTGCAGCAACCTCTCCTTCAACAGTGAAGAGTCAGAGATGAAGCTAGGAAAAGGTCAGGACTGTTTCCTTTAATGTTGGGGGTTTGTGTTAAACTAGCTCACTCCGCATTTGCCTCTCCCCAAATCCCCACTGAGGCTGAACCAGTTGCCATAGGAACTCTAATCTTTATCTGCTTTGCCTGTTAAATGATCTGGTATCAGCACCATCCTTTTTGAATCTTCTTGCATTCCTCTCTTCCAACCTTCTTCCTCCCGCAGGAACTGAACAGAGGGGAATGACTCTCTCTCTCTCTCTCTCTCTCTCTCTCTCTCTCTCTCCACCCCCCCTCCCTCTCCCTCTCTCCCCTTGCTTCCCATTTCCTCAGTAGCCCTCACTGGGCAATGAAGTGTGTTCAATTTGTGTGCTGTGAGGGTTTTGCTGATGTGGAGAGGGTCGACAGGTCAGGCAGGAACAGAAAGGTTGGCTGTTTGGGAAGCAATCTGCATCGCAGTGGAGGACGTGCAAGGTTTTCCTGAGCATGTCATGTCAGTTTTCCAGGTAGAGGCAGTCAGTCACTTTCGATCACAGTTGCCTCTGAGCACTGCACCCAAGTCAAATTGTTCAATGTAAAATTATCAATTGTATTGTTAACGGGGGGGGGGGGGGAGAGAGAGAGAGAGAGAGAGAGAGAGAGGAGCACCGAATCATGATTCAGAATAAGTCTAAAAGGGTAAGCCAAGAGAAATAAATATCAAGCTTTCCTAGAAATGTCAGAGAAATGTTCAAGAGAAATGTGTTTATGCAATAGCACAGGTACCTGTGAATTCTAGTCTTTGTTTTACATTTCTGGGAATCCCCAAAATAATGTTTGATAGGTGTAACCTAGAGATCAAAAATATGCCCTGACAAATAGTGAGCATCTTAAATCATCTGTCTCTTTCCCGAATCAAAACGCAGTTAGCTCATCATGAAGCATGCTAAAGCCTTCCATCAATCTGGTTATCTCTGCCAATCAAGTGAGGTGCAAACAAAGTGCTATCTCCAGCAATCACTCAGCCACAAACCGAAGATTGTAAGGAAATAAGTGCATGTGCATAAAGTAAGAAAGTGCTATTTTAAACTACATTGCTTCTTCGTAAGGTTGTACTTGCAGACGGCTTCTTTGCACCCACTATCTAGTCTTAGCAGCTTCCTTCTGCAAATCCTAGTCATCTGCTTTATTGTTTGACATCATGTTCTTATTGCCCTTTTAACTCTTAAGGTTTATTTAAGGTCTTTAGGTTGCAAAATGGATGGATGGACGTCAAAAGAGGTCCGTCAGTTTCAGGAGTGACTTATCATCTAAAATAAATCATTCAGAGCAGGAAATTCAACAGGAACATCAGCAATTTGCACTGCGTTCTTTTCTTTGCATTGGCCAAACACACACCAATAGTCTCCTCTCTTGTTAAAGAAGACTCTGAGGCCTTAACCATCACGGACACTTAACACACACTTAAGACAGCACCCTTAACTAGACCCCAGATTGGATGTCCATCAGTCCTCATAGAACAATGTTCCAGAAACTTCACACAAGGAAGTGTCAAGTCTAGAGCTGTAGGCAGTCTGTTGGTAGGGTGGCCATGTGTCCAACTTTACAGAGGACAGTCACCTCTTTGAAGGCATCCTTTATTTGAAGTACTGTCCAGTTTCAAAATAAAGAACCCTAGTAAGGGAGAGCAGGAGGGGTCCAGAAACTCCCCATCAGCAGTGAGCACCTAGATAGCAGTCCAAGCGGGCACACAGTGTTGAATGGTTTCTTTAAATGTAAAGGTTCAGCACTGTTCCACCTGATGTGTATGTCTTTAAGGGGCCAGAGCAAGGGCCAGAGCAAGATAACGAGACCCAGCTTTACAGCTGTGAAACATAGCAGGTGCTGCTGAGTTATATTGATTAAGCTGTTTTGGCAATTGGCTGTAGTATATAAGGAGCAGCACTTAGCTCTCCCAATACCCTGGGGAATGGGTTGGTGGTTGGGTCTGGTTTGTTGTTGATGTATTTAGTGTAAAATGAGTTTTTGTTTTTGTAATTAAAACCTTGTTTAAGTTATTTTTTAGTCCCTTTTTAATGCATGGTCTCCCCAGCAAGCTCTCTGCAGCGCTGCCATACTGCAAATAGCCCACACACAGCTCACCTGGCCACAGTATCCTATGCTACGGTGAGATATAGACATTTCTATTTAAGTTATAGGTACGCGGGTGGCGCTGTGGGTAAAAGCCTCAGCGCCTAGGACTTGCCGATCGAAAGGTCAGCGTTTCGAATCCCCGCGGTGGGGTGCGCTCCCGTCGCTCGGTCCCAGCGCCTGCCAACCTAGCAGTTTGAAAGCACCCCAGGGTGCAAGTAGATAAATAGGGACCGCTTACTAGCGGGAAGGTAAACAGCGTTCCGTGTGCTGCGCTGGCTCGCCAGATGCAGCTTGTCACGCTGGCCATGTGACCCGGAAGTGTCTGCGGACAGCGCTGGCTCCTGGCCTCTAGAGTGAGATGAGCGCACAACCCTAGAGTCTGTCAAGACTGGCCCGTACGGGCAGGGGTACCTTTTACCTTTACCTTTATTTAAGTTATAGCAATTACTTCCAAATTTGTGTCTACACATATAAATCAGCACATATAAATCTTATGCAGATCTAGGTCCTCTTATTCTGATGAATTTCATTTCATTATTTTTTTTTTTGTGATAGGTGTGTGGTCACTCAATCTGTTGGATGTAATCCTAGCTGCCTTGATATATAGATAAGGAAGCAGGTGGTTCTAGCCAGACAGGGACAGAGAGGGCCAGTCAAACAGAGAGCAGTCTGGGGAGACCTAACCCAGCAGCCCAGAAGTGTGGGCTTCTGGCACAACGCCTAACAGACTTGTGTGGCAGTCCAAACCCCAACAAGGAGCTCAGTGGTATGGCATCTGCCTTGCATGCAGAAGGTCCCAGGTTCAATCGCTGGCATCTCCAGGGAGAGACTCCTACCTGGAATTCTGGAGAGGTGCTGCCAGTCAGTGTAGACAATATTGAACTAGATGGAGCAGTGATCTGATCCAGTGATAAGGGAGCTTCCTGTGTACCTAACAAAATGGCAGGGCTACGACCGCATCCACAGCCCTGGGATGGAAGGAGAGGCCAGGAAAAAATGCTGTGCCAGTTCCTAAATCTAGCCCAGTGCCATTACGTGACAGTGGTGGACAGGATCCGACAGATCCCACATCAACTCATCCCCCTCCCCAGAGATACCCTGTTTTGAGGTTTTCCACAGTTTGTCACCTGAGTAGTGGCACCAAGGTTGGTGCAAAGAGGAGGAGAGAGTGGATTGCAGAGTAAGTATATAGTTCAAGCTTCTAATCAGGCTACAAGTCAGTAAGAAGCAGACCAAACTGAAGAACTGGAGCAAGCAAGATCAAGAATAGCCCACCTCAGGGAATAGTGCTCTGTCCTGATTTAATGCCCCTGAGAACATGGGAGCACACATCCCAGAAAAAAGGGAAACAAAATTCAAATAACAAAATCTGTTTCACTTAAGAAGAGAAATCAGCAACCAACAGGAGAACAAGTTCTTAGAATGATGGGTCCTTTCCATAAATAAAGGGTCAAAGGTAGCATTTCCCCTTACAAACTATTTTCAGCCCTCTGATTTCTGAATACCCCTCTATTGCTTCACACACACACACTTTTCCCTTTGTCCCTCTCTTCTCCTCATTTGTTCCCCTTCTTTCCATCCTTCCTCTAGTCGTTCTCCCTTCATTTTCTCTCCCCCCCCATTCCCCTTCCTTTTTTCCTTCTATGATGTCTTCTGTCTTATATACCCTCAGTTCTTATTACCACTATTTGTTTTACTTCAATACCCCTCAAAAAATTCTGTTTCAAATAAAGAAATCACACAGCAACTAGACACGAAACATATGAATAGCAACAGCTCTGTATGCTTTCAGTGTGTAGGTCATAACCATAACTACCATTAAAAACATTTATGTAGCATCAACAGATCTCTTGAGTGCATTAGAGTTCAAGTTCTTTTTCTTCCTTCTTGATTTTGCAGTGAAAACAAATTGAATACAAATAATGACCACTTCAGGATGTTATTCACACTCCCATTTAAGAAACAAAATGCTTTATGGCACTTGTGTTTCTTTCGTCACAGCACAGGCGTGACTATCTTTTTACGCAGGAGCTGAGGACCCCTGCAACTTTATTCTTCTAAAAAATATTGAATATTTTCAATAGTTATTACTTGAAAGTTTCGAAAGGATGACAGGAACCACTGATGGAAGTATAGCTTTGAGATGTATCAAAACCACCACTCTACCTCTGAACTACAGACCTTTGGCTTTTGCCTGGTCAAAACAGCAGGACCTGTTGCTTCCTCCACATCAAACTCCAGTAACTGACCACTGGTCTCCTTGAAATACACATGTAGAGGACTGTATACACATACAGAGCCACCCAAAGATTCAGCCTGGCCCATGGTATTTATTATCTGACATTATTTTGTCTTTCCCTCTGTTTTCACACATGAAAGCTTGTATCCTAAAAATACAAAAAAAAAAGAAGACACTGAAATAATTTGGGTCCAGACAGAAGCTTCACTCTTGCTCTTTCCTCTTTCCTTGGCCCTCACCCCTCTCTTTCATCATTATCAGAATATTTTTCTTTTCATCACAGACTCTGGAATCCCTACCTACATTGATTCCCCGCTGGTTCAGACAGCCAGAAATCTCCCAGATTACTGACATTCTGTACCAAATCTTCTCCATGTTGATTTGGCAGGGATTTCTTTATCCCCCAAACAGCCTTGAAATCCTTTGATATAATGCAGATTCCATTCCGAGGCATTGCAAATAAATAGTATACATAAATAAATAAATCATGTGCTGATATTTAGGGCAGTTGTTTATTTCCACTGCTGTTCTCCCCTTGGGGTCCCACACAGACACACAAATTCAGCTCTGTAGTTTTACAGAGAAATGCATTTAAAAAAAAAAACTTCAGCTGATTTCACCTAGGTCCCATATCAAAATGGCACTGAGTCAAGTAGGAGGAACAAATGGCAAATAATGGCATGCTTTCTGAAAGGAGGAGGCAGTGATAGGGAAACAGTGGGCAATTTGATATTTATTATTTTGTTACTTAGCTTTTGTTGAATTTCTACCCAAGAACATTCATCTGCATTTTTTCTTGTTGCTACATAGGATAATGCATGACTGTGACTTTGGATTGAGTAAGTAAAGCATTTTTAACTTACTTCAGAGTGTGCTATGTTTCACTGCATGAAGGCAGAAAGGGGAGCCAGATGCCTCAAGCAGCTGGAACATATGAAAAGAAAGTTAATAACCTATTCCTATGCTTCTTTAATCTGCCTAACGGTGGGATTTAAACTCTGCTACAGAGGCTCTTTATGTCATGTATGGACTAGCTGAGATTCCTGCATTGCAGGATGTTAAACTAGATGACCCTTGGGGTCTCTTTCAGCTCTACAATTCTATGATTTTAAGTGCTAGCCCCATGGTTTTAAAACAGGCACTTAAACAATTTTCCCCCTTTGTTAGCTAACCCACACAATGGGTCAGTAGAGGATTAAATATAATTAATATACCCTCTTAGCAATACCCTCTCTCTGTATTCTCTTCAGTCTCTCTTTTCTCTCTCTCTCAAAAAAAATCTCATTCTCCAAGTCTTTCCAGCCAACTCTCCTCAGAAAACCTTTCCAGAATTTCCTCAGGGAAACTTTCATTCCCCTCCAGCACTTCCTAAAGGCTTGATGGTGCTGTGCACTCCAGGTGTCTCATAGGACTGTACAGGGTGACATCTTCAGAAATTACACTCATTCCTTGCACATTTAGTCTTTACCTTACCCACAAGGGCTCTTGCAGCCACATCCTAGCCATCTTTACCGAGAAGTGCATCCCAGTGATTTCTAGCAGAACTTGCTCCCTGGCAAGCATGCATCAGATTCCTTTCTTAAATGTTTGCACCAAATGTTGTTGAATTGGCTCATTTTCCCTCCCCATCCTGCCCCCCCCAAGATGCCTTTCCTTTGCACATGATCAAGCCTCAACATATAGACCTGTCGTAAAGGTAAAAACTGGTCTTCATTATCATCAGCTGCATGCACTTGCTTACAGTCGTGGTAGTTTTGCTAAGTTTTGTAGTAATCACACTCTGTGCCGTTTTTAGCATGCAATGTGGTTATTAGCCACCAACGGTACCTTGCCGCTGATTTTGTAATATGCAAATGAGCCCCAAGAGAGCAGCTCTTCTGTTCCGCCCCCTCATTATGCCATCAGCCTCTCAATGACTCAGACTTCTTACATCTTCACTTTTCTGGTTCATTACCTCCAACACAATTCTATTACATCTCCACACTTTCTAATGCATAACCTATACGTTTGTATCAGCGCGCCTTCTCCCTCTGGTTATTTTTCCTTCCACAGCATCCTGACCTTACACTTCCCACTCTTGCTTTATCAGATGCTAGGCTTTGGGAGGACTGCGAAAGAGGAGCGTTTGATTCACGCTGCAGCATGACGCGCGATTCAGCCCTCCCTACTGTCCCCTACACACACAGAGAGAGAGAGAGAGCCAGCAGTGTGGGAGCTTCTTCCCTGTGGTATAATCCCACAGTGCTCAGGCGGTGTGTGTGTGTGTGAGAGAGAGAGAGAGAGAGAGAGGATAATGTGACTGTGTGGGTGAGGCCAACCATGGGAACCTTTCCCACAAAACCAACCAGCACTGCCTGCCAGCCATGGTGATGAGAGGAGGGCTCCATTTGCTTCAGGGCTCTTTCTTCCTTGACAGTTCGGCCTCCTCCTCAAGGTGGTGAGCCAAGGCAATGTAGTGGTTAATGTGTCAGTCTGGGACCAGGAGAGCAGGGTTCTAATGGCCATTCACTGGGTAGCCTTGGGTCTGTCACAGACTCTCAGCCTAACATAGGGTTGTTGTGAGGATAAAATAGAGTGGGGGAGAATTGTGAGCGCTGTGGTCTAAACCACTGAGCCCCTTGGGCTTGCTGATTGGAAGGTCAGCGGTTCGAATCTAGGCAATGGGGTGAGCACCCATTGCTCTGTCTCAGCTTCTGCCAACCTAGCAGTTCGAAAGCACACAAGTACAAGCAGATAAATAGGTACCACTGCGGTGGGAAGGTAAATGGTGTTTCCGTGTGCTCTGGCTTCCATCACGGTGTTCCGTTGTGCCAGAAGCGGTTCAGTCATGCTGGGCACATGACCCTGAAAGCTGTCTGTGGACAAACACTCTCTCCCTTGGCCTGAAGCGAGATGAGCGCTGCAACCCCATAGTTGCCTTTGACCGGACTTAACTGTCCAAGGGTCCTTAACCTTAACCTTTACTTTGCCTTGCACCCCTTGGAGGAAAGATGGAATACAAATGCAATTATTGTTATTGTTATTATTGTTGTTGTTATTATTAGGCTTTTAATCAGCTTTATCTACATTACAAAAATGTCTGCAAACACGACAAGAAGGCTGGCAACATCAACCCTGTCATGTGGGAAACCCTTGCAGACAACCACAGTGCTTGGAGACAGGCAGACAAGTCATGTATCCATAGCAGTGAACAGAGGAGAAAGACTGCTGGAAGGAGTGCAGAGAAACGCCCTGGTGCATTTGCAGCAGCACAACCGGATGCCTCCATCTGCTCCAGATGCAACAAGGCAGGTCTCTCCCGCATCTGTCTCTACAGCCACAGCAGGCTTCAACCTTCCAACAGTTTGACCCCACCCCCAAAGGCACATTCCTCCATTGTCTCCCGAGACAGACAGATGCCAGCAACATTTCATCTTGTAAGTTGCTAGAATACCTTTTTTTGTAATTCTACAACAAGAACAACAATGAAAGTTATTATTAGTAGTGTTATTGTTACAGAGTTAGGACAGGAGAGTAGACGGGAAATTTGCTTCCTGGGTTCCTGACACTGCCCTGCTGTGTGGATTTTGGTGCAGGAGGGAA